TGGGGTGGGGGTGAGGGGGGGGCGAGGAGGGGGCAAAGTGGGAAGGCGCAAGATGGGTTTTTGAAAATGGTAACACAGCGATGAATGTGGACGACTGGGCACGACGGATGCGCGAGTTGACTGATGCGGCTTATTTTGAGTATCTTGCGTGTGGCTGGAGCTTGTCTCTCAGTGCCGCGCGGGCCTGTGCGCGGATAGGCCTGGAGCGCCTGCTGAACAGTACAGTCCTGCAGAACTTGGTCGAGTAGCCGTGCCATTACACTGCAGAAACAACGGATCGCCCCATACTGTACTACTGTACAAGGCACAATGTAATTACTGCACTGCTCGCATCAATTTATTAAATTTTCGTTTGGAAATGGTAAAATCCTTGCTTTTGAGATACTTTGTTGCTAAAGTTTATTAATTAATCATCTTCAAGGCACGCTGCAGCTTGTTTGCAAGCGTATACATAAACGAGTTCAACAGAGCTCGTGATGAAGAAACAAATGAGCAAGCAGTCGAAGAAGAAGATGAGCATCTCACAAGAATCAAATGCCTTGGAACCACGGGACTATTTTTCCGTTTAATTAAATGCACTGTTGAAACAAGTACAGTAACGAGTGCATTAAAGGAGATGCTACAGTACACTAGAGCCAAACCGCGAGTCATGATGAAATGCGCAAAAACAAATAAAAATAATAGTATCTGTCAGTAGATGCGCACGTACAGTAGAAAACCAGTTCGCGCGCACCAAATTCATATCTACACAGTAAAATCGTAATTCACTAGGAAATGCGCAGTACAGTACCTTTACCGCATTTATTGATTAAAATCAAAGAGAACACAATACATTACCCGTACAGTACTCTAAAACAAACCACGTAAATGGAAGGAAATGCGCACGTAACACCTCCCTACTCCGTGTCACTGTCATCAAACAGTGCACGACGCGTGCCGCTAGACATGCGAACGCGGCGATTTTCTGTGTTTTCAACGTGTACACGGCGCCTCTTTCGCATCTGACTGGTTGATATGGCCCGTAGGCGATTACGTACACCAGTGCTGTGCTGCCCGTCCTCGAAGCGGAGAGGGCGGGCCCTGACACTCAGATTGGTCAACGCCAGGCACGCTTTGAACACGTGCTCGTACAATCCCTCTCCCCAGCGCCACTTATGAGAAAGTACAGTCCATAAACTGCACATTCTCCCAAAGTAGTTTTCTACTATGACACGATCAGAAGATACTTGGCGATTGTAGTCCACGTCGTCCAATGACAGCGTTGAACGTGCCGGAGTTCGCACCGGGTGCACCACACGTAGATCTTCGGCTGCACCTTGATATCCCTTGTCCGCCAGTATGGCCCAGTAATCATCCATAAATTCGCTCAATCGTCCCTCATCCGTAAACCGCAAATCACGTACCCCCTTTTTAGATGCCTCCTCATGAAAGGGTCTGTTACGACGAAATATCTCCAGATCCGACACGGAGCCCGGATAGTGCTCCGTGCACCCAATAGCAAGACCAGTAGGCAGTACCGAAACTTCCACTTTGTACCCATACAACTTGTGCTTACCGGAGAAGTATCGCTTCCCTTCTGATATATTTCCACTTGGACGATTGCTCTGCTGAAAAGTGACGTCGACAGCATATCTCGCGTATTCAAAATTCGAAAACACCCGGTCCTCCAGACGACACTTGGCCATTGTCCATTTTTCCTCGACGCGTGCCACACATATATCATACATGTATTCTGATATCATACGTAGAAATCCAGTTATTAAACGTTCGAAAGTAGAACATTTAACAGAAAATAGACGAGCTGTAAAGTTCCATTGCTGACCATGCTTGAGTACAGTAAGTGTCATGAAGAGAACATCCTGGGCCTTGTACTGTGTTCTTTTACCTCTGCCAACATTCCAATTCTTTGACACGTAGTCTTCAATCATAAGCCACAGTTCGAAGAATTGAGAGGAATCAAAATTACACATTGCCTTAATAGATTGAGAACCTCCGTCATTATAAAATGTGTCATAAATCGGACAATTGGAGTCGTTCTCATCATCGCTGGCGACCACGTCGTCATCAATGTGATCGACGATCTCATTGACGTGTCGGTTGGTGATGTCCGAAAGAGCCTGAACAGCGCGGGAGGGATTCATTTTTGAAATAGTAAATAGAGTAGGAGAAATGAGGAGCAGCTGCAAGAAGTGGTTTTTCTATATCAACTGCGCAGTTGTTCCATTTTATAGTGTTTAGTTTGAGTAGACTGAAACTGCGAGGCATATCTCACAAAAAGGCGGGCTTTCCCGTTTTTGAAAGTTGACTCGCAATTGTAGATATGATGCACAACTTATGCTATAATCTGCGTTGCTGTATTATTTGCACACTTAGTTTACTTTTCTACTGATATTCCCCAAACTCAAAGTGCTTTCACGCAACTGCAATACTTGAGGTACTGTACGTAGTTACCCTACTAATACTGCACTGTATACGCTCTACGTGGGTCAGCGCTAGGATATGCCTCTACCACCCCCTCTATGATACTCTGTGATAAAGATGATAAAAAAAGCGGTGACGTATGGATGTGATCAACAGTCTCGGTCGGACTGTTTACAGTAAAGAGTAAAATAGGCCGCAAACGTACTAAACCTATCATGCAAATCCAGAATATTTCTCTTTTCCACAAAAAGGAAATCGCCTCGCATGTAATTTCACACGTTGGCCGTGAGTCGCGCTCTGCAATGCGCAAAAATCACGCTCGGCATCGTCCACACCCGGTCCACAGCAATGTCTGCTGTGACACTGCAGCCTGTAAAGCGAAAGGGTGACATCACGCACTAAATCACGCCACCGAAAGCAATTCCGCCTCCTGGGAGGCGGTGCCGCCTGCCTGGGACCAAGGGCTGGCCCTTGTGCCGCGCCCTCTCGACACTCGACCTCTTCGGCCCCGCCAGAGCAAGGTGCGCACCGCCTCGATATTTCGCCGCGCCTTCAAAACACACCCGCGCCCCGCCGCCCCGCGCCCCCGCCGCCCCGCGCCCACGCCCATCCACTGGAATGCCTCCTCCGCCCGACTCCCCCGACGCGCCGGGCGGGAGCCGCGCGGACGCCGTGTGCGGCAAGAAGTTTCGCGCGATGCTGCGCTGCGTGGAGCGGTCCGGCGCCGCAGCGGCGTGCACGGACAAAGTCAACGACTTCCTCGCGTGCGAGCGCCACGTATTCCAGCAGGCGATGCGCAAGTCCAGCAACCAGCCATCCCCGGCATCTTCCCCGGCGCCTGCGCCGCCCGCCTCGCGCGCGCCCCCCGCGCACCACAAGCCGCACCCGACCGCCGCCCAGATTGACGACGCGGAGGAGAAGGGGCCCACTAGCTTCTTTGCACACCCGCTGCAGAGCTTGCAGCGCGTCGTGAAAAAGCAGGCCGCGGCCTGTGTTAGCCTCGTTGAGGTCGTGAGGAAACCGGCCTATCACACCCAGTTGTTCCAGTTTAATCAGAGAATGCTCGCGGATATCAAAGTGACTTGTGAGATTATTCGCGCGAAGACGGTTCACTTTGTTCATGTTCTAATGGGAGTGCCAGACAAAGGCAATGGAAAGCCATAGCGCGACGCTTGAACGTTGTGCAAGAGGTGTTCTTTACCCGAGAAAAGCTAGCTTCATTTTTATCAACATGCAAGAAAGGTCAAACCGAAAATATTATACGCATGCAATCAGCCTCGTGCTCGTACTTGTACATATCGACAGAAGTTGTTGGGAGGCTACATTTCGAACTTGCGCAGCAACCGTCCAGAGCCCATTTTCACCCGAAGAATACGCGGCAACCGACATACTTCGATGTTTTCTTCTTTGCCGAACAGATCTCCCCGTAGCCTAGGCCACGATCTCGTTGCTGCTTCCTTCCCGTCAGGGGTGGGCGATCTTGCTGCCTCCATGTCAGACGTCAACCGTCTCCGCACTGGAGTCCGCGCCTTGTCGGCGTTTAATATCTGCGACTCGTTTGCTACATTGTCAAATTCCGTCTCAAGTTTGGCGGGCGATGGTCGTCGCTTTTTCGGCAGCCCAGGCGCTCGAGGCAACTCGTTTGGTGCTTCCAAATTGTGAGTGCTCTTGTCGTTCTCCTTCTCGCTGAGGTCGAGGGAAGACCGAGGCAGCTGGCCACCCTTCTTCTCACCCTCTGAACCTCCGGCACTAAGTTGACTTGATATGTGTTCAGACAAGTCTGGAATACCAGACGTCACAAGCACGGTCTCTTGGGTAGTCGGCAACGCATTTGAGACGCCTGGCGTTTCCGCCATACTTTTGTCCCCCTTTTCGTCTCTGAAGTCGAAATGCTGGTCAGGGGCGGCCTTGCTTTGATTTGGCGTGCCCCTTTGTAAAGAGAGCGCCGCAGAGAAGTCATCGCTGTCGGCGAGAACCTTGCGGAAATCACCGATACTCCCTTTCAATCCAGTAACTGGAGAAAACGAAAATGATGGAAACGACGGGCTGAGCACGTTGACAACATCCTCTGGTGTCGCCTGAATACCTATCTTCGTAACCATATCTCGCTTCTGCCGCTTGCGTTCTTGTATTAGCCGAATCCCCGATAATGAGCCAAACTGCGATGAACTTGCGCGTGGAAAGTCAGTAATCGATGATGCAGGTAGTTTTGTTTTGATTGGTCCTAAAATCCGCTCCGCCTTTCTCTTGAACTGATGATCTTCTAAAGCATCACTCTTGCCATTGAGGCAGCCGTTTGGCCCCGAACACGTGCACCTTGGACCACAATCAACCCTAAGCTCCCTACAAACGCAGTAATTTTTTGCACATCCCTTGCGACAATTACACCCCTTGATATGAATATCACCGCTAGCGGTGGCTAAGGAATTCCTGACCTTGGGCTCAAACGCTCTCGGATCCCGTGCCAAAACGGTTTCCCTAGCGTCATGCACAGATGTAGCGGTAAGCTGTGAATTTTGGCAGTTTTTGCACGTGCAATCCGGGCCGCAAAAGCCCGAGCTCGCAAAGCACGGGCAGTACAGCTTGAGACATTTCGAGGCCTTGCAGCTGCACTTGGTCCTCTGCTGCTGCGTGACCATCGGGGTGAACGGGGTGCCCGGCAAGACGGGGACGGCGCGGCGCGGGACGGCGACCGAGGGATTGACCAGCTCCTTGACGGAGAACTGTTGATAGATGCTCTTCGGTTGCTGCGCGCGAAGGCGCAAGGGGGTGGCAGATGAGGGCACGACGTCGCCGACGAGCGCGCGGGAGGGCGAAAAGCCCGGAGAGACGTTGATGTCGGGTTGGTCGTCATCCGAGGCATTGTTGGAAAGCGGGTTTGCGAAAGTGGTGGTGTGGAGGGGCGTGGATAGGGCGACGGAGGAGATGGGGTTTGGCTTGCGGGCCGTGCTTGGAGCGGAGCGGAGCGGATCCGGGGGCCCGAAGAGGCGGCGCTTGAGCTCCGGGGTGAAGCGTGCGGGATCGATTGGGGAGGACGCCGGGTGCGGCGGGGAGGCGAAGAAGTCATCGGGGTTGAAGCCGGGCTGGCCGGGCGGGGAGGGGGAAGGGGACAAACCGGTGAGGCCGGGAGTCGGGGTGATGGAGAAGCGGAGCGGGCGCGGCGGCGGGGCGGAGGGGGTGGAGAGGGCGGGGGGGGAGGCGGAGGGGAGGGTGAAAGCTGCGACGTTCTCGCGGGCGGGGGAGGCGACGATAACGGAGAAGGGGTCGAAGGGGAGGGAG